CCACTGTGGCTAGTAGTTTTCTAGCCACTTGCCATTTTCACTAGCCACAATTATGTTGTTGGGAAAATATATTTTTCATGCATTAATTTGACTTTTGCATGCTAAAATTACTTGATTTAAATTTTGTTTTATGCCCACATGCCTCCTCATTCATTTCACTTTTTTGTGACCTTGAGCATGAACAAATGGGTTGTGGTTTCAGTGTCGCATTGCAATTAGTTTTATTTCACATGACTTTTTAGGGCTCAACACTAAAGATTTTTCTTTTTTTTTCCCCTCTGGCCACACCAAACTAATTAATTATTTCCTTGCCACAAATTTTAAATATTGCGTCAAAACAAGCTAAATATCACTTTTTATCCAACAAAATTTTTCTTCAAAAAACCATTGACATTTTACGAAATTATTCTCATATATCTAAAACTTTACACTGCAGTCTGTCTTGGCTGAGGGTTCCAGATCACCAGTAAACTATAGATAAGTGGAGAGTTAATCTCCTATTAAAGCAACATTATTGTAAAGGATGATAATTAAACCACATTAACAAAAACAGCAAATAAAAGCCGGTGAAAAAAACATTCCGTGTGTGAAAGGATGTTCACGGTTAACGTTAAGCCCATTAATAATCTTTTCAAAGAATGTTCAAAGTGAAAGCAGCAATCAAAAAATCTTGAGCTCTTGAAAGAAGCAGGACTGTTCATGCAGAAGCACCATTTTCTTTCAATCTATTTTAAAGTGAAACGCATCAGTTTCATTTCCAGGCATGGAGACTCTCGTACATCACATCAGCTGTGCGCGCGACTGTCGTCAGTGAGCGGGAATCTCACTAAGTGTATCACTGTGTGCCTAAGCGTCCTCTCATTCATTTGGTATTCACCTGCTTTCTTTTGCTCGAGCGAACACTTATCAGTCGTGCTGCACGCATCCATTGACAAACGGTCTCAAACTAAAAATCTACCTGTATTTGGCATTTATGTCAAGCCCTGGTTCCAAACTAGATCTGAACAGATCTAGATATTTTCATTTTTATTTTTTATTTTTTATTTTTTTTAATTATTTAAATAAAGCTGGACCCCAGAAAATGTATTTTTGCATTGTCATAGTTATATATGCTTTTACTTTATTATATTTTAATGCAGATGCTCTGTGTAGAAAAAGACTTGATCATCCCATACAATCCCATACAGAGCTATTCAAATAATATGGTGAAATTATATTCATTTCGCAATATATATCGCAGCAAAACAAAATATTGCAATGTCAGATTTTTTCCAATATCGTGCAGCCCTATTCCAAACCTTTGAGTTTCGTTTTACTCAAAAGATGCTTTGAAGAATGTTGGAAAATTGTAAGCATTTACTTCCATAGTAGAAAAAAAAAACCTATGAGGGTCAGTGGTGATAGGGCTCAACATTTTTCCAAATAGCTTTTTTCTGTTCTATTGAACAAAAGAAAGACACTCAAAACTACTTGTGACAAGTGAAGGTGTGTAAATGGTTTCCATTCCGATGCAATCTCACAACTATTTGTAACTTTTTGTTTACGTGGTTAATTCATCTAAATTCGATCTCATTCAAAAATTTTAATATAATTTATTGGCTCATCACCCAATGGGTACAGTTAGTAGTGGCACACTTCTGTTTAAAAACCATACATTTTTTGTAAGACAAATTATTTACGTTATATACAATAGTCAGTTTCAGTTTGAAGTGAACTATCCCTACAATGTTGTGAAATTTAAGTTACAAATGCATAATTTTAGCATTTAAAATTGAAATGTAAATATTGTATCATATTTAGGTCGCAACTGTCAGAACTAAATATGCTGTAAGAGATCAGTCTGTTAAAATGCTTAAAAATCTGCCATTTCCATTTTTTTTTTTTTTGTTATTTTGATGTGTTTGCACCCTTTTAATGTCAGTCATTTTCAGTATTAGTTATGAGTCGGTCTCACTTTATATTAAGTGTCCTTAACTACTATGTACTTACAGTACATCAGAAAAAATAAATACAATGTACATTTGAGAACAATTGTGGTGCTTTTGAGTTGTGATAGAGGTTGGGTTATGGACAGGTTTGGTGGCATGGTTAGGTTTAAGGGTGGGTTAAGGTGTAAGGGGTGGTCAACAGTGTATTTACAAATTTAATTACAAAATTTAATTACAGATGTAATTACATACATGTATTTAATCAAGCATAAGTACACAGTAAATACATGTATTTACACAATATGTACATTGTAACAAACTATTAATTCCTATGTAAGTACATATTAGTTAAGGCCACTTAATATAAAGTGGGACCTATGAGTCTATGAAAAGTTTGGGTAATGCAGTGAAATAGTTTTCTTGAGAAACTCATTCATTAATTAGTTATTTTATTTTTAATTTAGGTAGGCTATACATAAAACTTTTGTTCTTTTACTCAAATACTTTTACTGAAATAATACTGTATTAAGGTGCTTCATCCACGACTGTGTGTATGTGTGTATGGTTTGTTACATGTAGTGCATAATAAAATTATACCAAAATGGTACCAAAATCATACCAATTTAATAAACCTGCTGCTAAAACTGATCAGTAGGATAGCCAGTAAGTTCAAACATATTAAAATATACAGTTAAAGTCAAAATTATTAGCCCCCCTTTGAGTTTTTTCATCAAATGATGTTTAACAGAGCAAGGAATTTTTCACAGTATGTCTGATAATATTTGTTCTTCTGGAGAAAGTCTTATTTGTTTTATTACAGCTAGAATAAAAGTAGTTCTGAATTTTTTTAAAAAACATTTTAAGGGTCAAAATTATTAGCCGCTTTAAGCTGTATTTTTTTGATCGTCTACTGAACAAACCATCAATATACAATAACTTGCCTAATGACCCTAACCTGCCTAGTTAACCTAATTAACCTAGTTAAGCCTTTAAATGTCACTTTAAGCTGTATAGAAGTGTCTTGAAAAATATCTAGTCAAATATTATTTACTGTCATCATGGCAAAGATAAGATAAATCCGTTATTAGAAAACTATTATGTTTAGAAATGTTTATTTAAAAGGGAAATCTGTTTATATATGATTGTTTTACATATAATAAAGTAATTATCAACTTTTCAATAATATGTTTGATATTCAATCTTTGTTAAACTGCAGAATTAAAGTATATTTGTATATCTTTTCTGTGCAAACTAGACATTTTGTGAAGGCAAATGCATAATGATCTTAATATGTTGATGCCAAAACCTCAAAATATCCAAGATCTCAATATTATGAGAAACATCTATTTAATTTATGACGCTTTGTCCATATAAAATAATAATTAGCTTTTAGTCCTTTTATTCATTGGGAGAACATTCTGGTATCAATTAATCGATTCATCAAATATATAGTCATGACTTTTTTCACCTTTGGAAACGTTTTAATTAACCTTTTACGGGAATCTGCTGGATTGCTGTATGCAGTAAATAAAGTTTACCTAAAGAATGTAGCATCAGTAATGCATCATTATCATAATATAGTGCTGGAAACTAAATAAGAAATAAGTCAGATCAAAGCAATCAGAGCACAATTATTTAAAGAATTAACACATGTTATGTACCTTAACGTGTACTTATATTTTTTTTGATTATTTTATTATGTTTTTTAAATACTGATTTTTTTGCAGTCTAGATCAGGGGTGCCCAAACTTTTGCTTATGCAGGGACTAAACCTGATTGAGTGCTGTGGGCTGAAGTTATATAACTTATAACATATACATTACATTATCATCGCCATGGGTAAATTTCTAATTTATTTAATCATATTTAAAACTTAATAGAAAACATTACTTTAATCATATAATGTGTTTTAATGTGTTTATGATGAACATATTAGAATAAAAAACAATCAATTCTATTTAGAACACGGTGGAGTTCAATGCTGACCACACTAGTCAAGCCGCACATCCTTTTGTATTGTCTCGTGCGTTGTCCTCTATCCATTGAGTGACTGTATGTACATTTAAAAAAAAACTAATCATTTAATTGAAACGTTTAAGTTAGCTCAACAATAACACAAACAAACAAAATGTTATGTTAAATTAGAAATGACAAACTCTATTAAAGGCATTGCCCAACCCCTACAAGTATTGTTCCTATGGGATAGTGGGCCAAATCAAAGGTTACCAAGGGCCAACTTTGGCTCGTGGGCCCTAGTTTGGGCATTTCTGTTCTAGATAGATAAAGCTTCAATATCCATTTTACTTTTATAATCAACTTAAAATTAAAACATTAAAATTAAAAGATAAAAATAAAAAATTCTACAAACTAGTAAAATGAATTAATTCATATAAACAATTAGGTTAAATGATATTAGGACAATCAAAATATCGATCAAAATGGAAGTAATGAATAAAAAGACAGACGGACATTTTGAGATACACAACGGGCGTCATGGTGGCGCAGTGGGTAGCTCAATCACCTCACAGCAAGAAGTTCGCTAGTTCAAGTCCCGGCTGGCTTAGTTGGCATTTCTGTGTGGAGTTTGCATGTTCTCCCCGTGTTCGCATGGGTTTCTTCCGGGTGCTCCGGTTTCCCCAACAAGTCCAAAGACATACGCTATAGGTGAACTGGGTAAGCTAAATTGTCTATAGTGTATGTGTGTGAATGAGTGTGTATGGGTGTTTCCCAGTGATGGGTTGCAGGTCGAAGGGCATCCTCTGCATAGAACATGTGCTGGGTAAGTTGGCGGTTCATTTTGTGGTGGTAACCCCTGAGTAAGAGAGAGAATGAATAAATTAGATACACAGATTTATATTTTGTTAGTTTGGTATATAAAGTATAACTAATATCCAGAACATGATTCTTCTCAAATTAGTAATTTATTGCATTAATTGTAGTCCTAGTAGCAACATCCTCGTCGTTAAGTATCATAATCATCTTCGTTATTATTTGTCCTTTGCTGCCACCTAGAGTGCGTCATGTGAACACGTGCTGTTTCCGGCTTCGGCCACTAGGCGGCTTTTATGCGGAAGTCAACGAGCAGTGATCTGCTTCCTGAAAGAGCCGAAACTGCTCTGTACAAACTCACATTTCCCGACTGATAGACTCGCGCAATCAGCCATGTCGAAGAACACAGTGTCCGACCGCTTCAGGAAGGTGGATGTTGACGAGTACGACGAAAACAAGTTTGTGGACGAGGAGGACGGCGGAGAAAATCAGCTGGGTCCGGATGAGGCAGAGGTGGATTCCCTCATCAGATCATATCCTTTTGCTCCACAGCTCCTGCTGCTCACTTTGTGCTTACTTTCTTCAGCATTTCGACTCGTCGTTTTAAAAAAGCACGCGATTATGTTGGTGTCCATTTGCTTATATTTATTATTATTATTATTATTATTATTGTGCTGTTCTCCAGACATGGGTGTGGTAGTCAGTCATTCATTTCAAACATGCACGTTTTACATTGACTTCACAAGTTTGTGTCCGGGAACCAACTCATCAAGTTTCTTTTAAAATAGTAAACTGTGGTTGTAGTGTTTAAAAAGTGCCTTTTATAAAGATTAGCCTTTTAGATAGGGCAGCAATTACTTAGAATGGGGTTGCTGTAGAAACACTTCCGGATGCCACCGATTTCCGGTTGTCGTTTGATGTGCTTTTTAAAGGCAAGACCACTGATCTGTTCAACATGTGTTACCCTGGACCACAAAACCAGTCTTATGGGTATCTATTATTATTGCTATTATTATTATTATTTTGCAATAGCCTAAATGCATTGCATGGATCAAAATGATCTGTTTTCCTTTTATGCTAAAATCATATTGAGTAAGATAATCTTCCATGAAGACTCTTTTACTTTCTACTGTAAATATTTCAAAACTTAATTTTAGATTAATAGTGTGCAGTGCTAAACACTGAAATAAGGCATATTTTCTCAGTATATTTTATTTATTGTGTTTTATTATTTATTAATTGTTCTATTTTGTTTATTTATTATATTTAATAAATAGTTTTTACCAACTGCTACTGAAATTTACCAATGGAAATGTGGGGAAGCGATGACCTTTAGAGCCAATCACAGTCATTTTTGTTGAGCATGTGCACTCAACGGCCAATCAGATGTGTTTAAAGAGACAGTTCAGCCATAAATGAAAATGTACTCACTATTTTCTCATTCTCTAGTGCAGTGGTGTCCAAACTCAATCCTGGAGGGTGCCTCAACACACATGCAAGGATGTTTGTAGAAAGCCTAGTAAGAGCTTGATTTGCTAGCCCGGGTGTGTCTGATTGGGGTTGGAACTAAACTTTGCAGGACACTGGCCCTCCAGAACTGAGTTTGGCCATCCCTGCTCTAGTGTTTATTCATTCATTCATTTTCCTTTCGGCTTAGTCACTTTATTAATCCGCGGTCGCCACAGCGGAATGAACCGCCTACCTATCCAGCACATGTTTTATGCAGCTGAGGACCTTCCAGCCCCAACCCATCTCTGGGAAACACTCATACAGACTCATTCACACACATACACTACGGACAATTTAGCCCACCCAATTGACCTGTACCGCATGTCTTTGGACTGTGGGGGAAAACCGGAGCACTCGGAGGAAACACACACGAACATGGGGAGAACATGCAAACTCCACACAGAAACGCCAACTGACCCAGCCGAGGCTGGAACCAGTGACCTTCTTGCAGTGAGGTGACTATCTACACTACCTACTGCTCTCAAGTGTGTATAAAGTGGCTTATTTGAGTTTCTTTCTTCTGTTGAACACAAATGAAGATATTTTGAAGGAAGCTGAAAACCTGTAACCATTGACTTCAATTGTTGGAAAACTAACACTATAGATGTCAGTGGTTACAGGATCTCAGCACTCTTTAAAATATCTTCTTATGTGTTTAACAGAAGAAATAAACCCAACCTGGTTTTAGTTTAGTTCATGGTTAGTAAATAATGACAGAATTTTCTACTTTTGATGATCTTTTTAAGAACATGCTCAAATGTTAACAGGAAATGGTCATTTTTTACATTTCAGTATTGATGGGTAACGAAGTCGAGACATTTGACCACCCTAATTTTTGTAAAAATTGTTTTACATTTGTTTTTGAACACTCAGATTCCAGATGTTAATATAGTTATGGCAAAATATTGTCCTGTAGGTTTATGGCAAACTTATTTATTCAGCATTCAACCTTAAAAAAGTTGACACATGACTGATGTATATATATATATATATATATATATATATATATATATATATATATATATATATGATATATGATATAATATAGATCAGCACTTCAGTCGGGTGGAAACATGCATTTTGCATGATTATTTAACCTTAGATTAAAAGGAAAATTTTCTGCGAAAAGCCACAAAAAACAACAACAACAAACAAAACCTCATGAATGAAATGGGGGGGGGGGGTAAGAAAACAACGTGGTGTTTGCCGGCATTGTCTTGGAGCTCTTATTTATGCTGTTGTAGATATCATTTGAGAGTGAATGTTATTAAAGATGATCTGAAAGATTATTAGCTTCCTTAGCGCAAGACACAGGTAACCTGATGGGAGCCCTGCAGGCAGTGCTGAAGAATCCACCCATCCACACCAAAAACCAGAATGTGAAGGTGAGCTTATCGTAAAACCTGTCTGTAGTCTCTCAAACTATTTCAACTTTTACCATGAACATCTTCAACCGTCTCCAAAGTTTCTTTCTCCAACGCCTTCAACTTCAAATCTCCGTGATTATGTCTGCTGTTTGTGATTTGCTAGATATTAAGCATAAAGGATTTAAATAATGTCACTATTAATACTAATAATTATAATGATTACTCTGTATGTGTTTAATAGCGAAAACATAGAATATATTATTAATATTAAAGTGCATATTCATAAATTCATTAAAATAATGACATGTAATCAGTTATTTGTCAATTGCTAGATATTAAGCATAAAGGATTTAAATAATGTCACTATTAATGCTAATAATTATAAGGATTACTCTGTTTGTATTTGATAGCGAAAACATAGAATATATTATTAATATTAAAGTGCATATTCATAAATTAATTTAAATAATGACATGTAATCAGTTATTTGTGATTTGCTTGATATTAAGCACAAAGGTTTGAAATAATATTAATATTGCTTATAATTATGATGATTACTCCGTATTTGATAAATACTATGTTGAATATTAGACTATTAAAATGCATATTCATAAATAAATTTACGTAATGACAACATTTCACAATAAAATAAACTTCAATCAATATTTCTTTTTTTGAATGATTAAATTTGTATTTTATAACGGTTATTTATGGATGGTTTATTATTCACTTTATCAATAACAATGTAAGCTAGCTAGATAAACATTTTAAGTTTTGATTTCTCATGTACTATTGATATTAATATGCTGGACAAGATTCTTTGGTATGTAATCTTAAATACATATATAAAAATACATATATTGCAATAAAGTATTTAAAATCTCATATTATAAGTTGCTGATGAGTGTGTGTGTGTGTGTGTGTGTGTGTGTGTGTGTGTGTGTGTGTGTGTGTGTGTGTGTGTGTGCGTGTGCGTGTGCTTGTGCGTGTGTGTGTGTGTGCGTTTGTGCAGGATCGGGCTGAAGGTCTGGTGTTGAAAGTGCTCAGCTCTTTCAAGGCTAGCGATATAGAAAAGGCTGTTCAGTCTCTGGATAAGACTGGAGTAGATCTGCTCATGAAGTATATCTACAAGGGCTTCGAAAGACCCTCTGACAACAGCAGTGCCATTCTTCTTCAGTGGCATGAAAAGGTAACATCTTAATAATTAGATTTTAGATTAACTGTGTTTCCTAAAAAATAAGTTGCACCAACCTAATATGAACTCTATTTCTCATGATTTCTGTTTATTAATTGTAATATTTCTATATTCCATTTCCCCCTGTTTTAGTATGTTTGTAATTATACAAATACTCATTATATTAAATTATACTTTAATACAAATACTTTAATTATACTTTAATGCAAATTTCGTTAGGGTTGTCAAAAGTATCGGCTTCTGTACCAATCGACACTCAAATTTACTTATGTGGTGAAGCCTTCAGAGGCAATCACAATCATCTCTGTTGAGCATGTGAACTCAAAAGCCAATCAGATGTGCTTAAAGATACAGTTTTTCCAAAAAATGCACATTTACTCACTATTTTCTCATCCTCACGTGGATATAAACCGGTTTGAGTTTCTTTCTTCTTTTTGAACACAAAAGAAGATATTTTGAAGAAAGATGGAAAAGTTGGAAAAACAAACACTATGGATGTCAGTGGGTACAGGTTTCCAACATTCTTTAAAATATTTTCTTTTGTGCTCAAAAGAAGAAATAAACCCAAATCGATTTTTGATCAGTTCATGGTTAATAAATAGTGACAGAATTTTCTTCTTACATGCTCAAATGTTAGCAGGAAGTGGTCATTTTTTTAAATCTAAATATTGATTGGTAACAAAGTCAGTATTTTTGACCACCATATCTTTTGTAACAATTTCTGTTATTTTTTAATTATTTTTTTTATTATATATTTTAAATTTTTTTTAAGTGACCTACAAATGAAATCAAGTATAATATGAATATAATTAAAGTTAATTAAAAAATTTACTATTAGATTTTTTATTATTTACTATTATTTCTGACTATACCATGTTAATTTGTTAATATAACCATATTTAACATTAACATGTTAAAGTTAATCATTAATGATCATTCTGTGAAAAAGTCAAACTTCAGAAGTGTGCTCTGATGTATGGTAGATTTCACCTTCATTTTGAAAGAATAGAAAGTAGTGATGCACCAGTCTTGCTATTTCAATTCATTTAAAAAAATAATTGTCAATATCTGATTTCTGATTTTTAATAATTATTTTAAATATTATTATTCTTATTATTCACGTTTTTTGATATATGGAACAGATTTGCTCAATTTAAAATATAATTTTTTTAATTAAAAAATAAATAAATAAATAAAATCAGTCTTTAAAAGTGACTTATATTGCAGAAACTGTTAGATCAAAGCCAAACTTAGCTTATCTGTGTGTGTGTGTGTCTGTGTTAGGCTTTGTCCGCAGGTGGCGTGGGCTCCATAGTCCGAGTCTTGACGGCCAGGAAGACGGTGTAACGTTCATTGGTAGGATTTGGCAGAGGGACTGGCTGGCACAAGCCCTCGTGGTCTGCTTTCTACCCACACTGCCAAACTGTGGAGGGTGTCCAGTCGCTCACTTTTTCTTAAAACGATCAAACATTTACAGTCCCATTTGGATGAGTTGCAGCAAAGATAAGCACCTTGGATCTATGCTATGCTAACAGAAAGGTGATGGGGGGGAGGGGATCTTTTTGTTGACCTCAGTATATATACTAAGCACAGACATTTGTCCAATTCACATACTTTATTCCCATGCTTGTAGAGTCTTTCAGTATAACAGAACAAACAGTATGTGTGATCACATGACTAAAGCGCTACACAGTCATGTTGTTACAACAGCATGTGATGGTGGTACTATAAAATTCTTGCTTTTTTTAAAGAATAGTTCAACCAAAAATGGCCATTCTGTCAACATTTACTGACCTTAAAAATGTTTCAAATAGCCCTAAAGTAGTTCATTCCTGACTCCTGATTCCTGATTCTCTGGTGTACAAATAACATTCCAAAAACGATGAATGAGTTTCTACAGGTTTGGAAAGTCACGAGGGTTTAAAAAAATCATGACAGAATTACATTTTTGGTTGAAAGTGATGAAGCTTTAGTTTTATGTAGGATGTTCACCTAATATTCCATTTTCTATAGAAGCCTGTCTCCACCACGAAAAAATAATGAATATTTAAACTAAAAGAAAATAATACTTTATTTCTTACAATTCAGATTTTTAGTAATCGGAATTGTTTTGGTCAGAGTTTATTTGTTCCATTATAAATTCAAATTCAATTGCAATTCTGAGTTCTTTACCGAATAATTTTTTGTGATTTTTTTTGTGATTTTTATCTAACCTTTTTTTAAAGATGTAAGATAAGCCTTTGGTGTCTCCAGAATGTGTCTGTAAAGTTTCAGCTTCAAATTCTCATCAGATTATTTATCAAAGCCTTCAGAATCCCATTTAAGAGTGTGAATTTATTGTAGCTGTTTTTGTAGTTGTGACTTTGTCCAAATTAGCTGCTTCTCCCCGCCCACCGCTCCTACGCTTGTGTCTGCTTCTCATCATGCGTCACATCAGATAAACAGCAGTCAGTGACAGAGACAGATTCGGATAAAGCTGAAGTACAGCTCATTAGTCGACAATATCAAGTTTATTTCAGTTTTATTTGTGGTGGACTGAAATGATGAGTCTGACACAAATGTCGTTTGAACTGCACACACAAACATTAGCGTTTACTGACACCATGCGGCCGTGCTGATTATATTAGTTAAGAATTACATTGTGATTTTACTTTCTTTTCTTCTGAACATGCTATGTTTTAAACTTATAAAACTTAATCACAGAGAGTTGGAAGATATTTTAATTCCAGTTTATTTGCAAAAAAAAAAATTCTGTGGACATGTGTACATGCTATTATATAAACATGGTGTCTGTCAATCAATTTGGTGGGTGGGGAAACCACACTCCTATGTCACGTTACAGTGGGCCTCAAAATCACTGGGATTTGGGTCCTATTTTAAAGTCAGAAATTAAAATAAAAAGAGACTCTTCTTTCTATCACTCCAGGATGAATGTGGACACACTATACCTGCACACAGTTCTGTACAAACAACATATAAAGTTGATTTTCATCATAGGTGCTATTTTAATCAAAAAACATTTTTAGATAAGCAAAAAATATTGTCTTGTTTTCAGAAATAATGTCAAAATATCATAGAAACAGGACAAAAGCTGGAAGCAAGATAAGCTTTTTTTTGCAGTAACACAATTATTCACAATTCTGGGTTATTTCCTATATCTATCTCCTTTTTCTTTTGCAGTTTTTTTTTCACTTTTCTGAGTTTAATTTGTTTATTTTTTCCATAATACTGAATTTTTTTCTCTCAATTCTATCTTTATATGTTTTGGAATTCACAATTGCAATAAATAAACTAGGAATTCATATTTAATAAAGTTCTAATATTTTAGATTAAAAAGTCACACTTAGCGTGGTGGGATCAAGCTTATCTGCTCCTTTCTCAAAGCATAATCAGAGCTGGTTTATGTAAGAATGCCAACATCAGTATTTGCTTCTTTTCCTGCTTGCATGCAATGCATAATATATTAGTTGTGAGCTGAATCTGAACGCCTGTGCTTTCACGAGAGAGATTTGTAGCTCAGTTTCTTGTGATCAAGCGCTTCTTTTCCTCCACAGTCCCTTGAGTTGCTTATGCGGTTTCTAGCATCTCCATTGCTTCATATCACACAAGGATCACGTTCAAAGAAACAACAAAGGGAATAACTTTTCTTAAGTTGCCAAAAACTCTTTAATTGTCATAATGGTTGATTAATACTAGTGTTTTTGTACTCTTCACAAAAACAGTGAATTACTTTTTTATAACGTTGAGTATTATTAGAATTGTCTGTGAAACACTTGTGTATGTTTTGCATATCGCATCATTTTGGGGTGTTTTACCAGTCACACAACGTGATTAACATCGTTTCTTATCTCATACTTTGAACTCAGACTTTATGTCAGGTGCTGATGATCAAGCAAACCTCGGAGACACACACAAGTGTTTGTGTTTTCTCACAATTGCCACCAAACACAGCAGCTGGAGTTCAAGCTGCTATGGAGAATTTTGCTTCCACTGTGGTTCACTTATTTTCGCCATACTTGAAGCCATATGTAAACAACCGAAGGAAGTCTCCACTTGTTCATTGACCATTCCAAGTGAATGTTAGATCTGCATCATGCCAATCAATCATTTGATTAAGTGCAAAAATGATGAACTAGTTTACCAACTGCCTTATAAAATATTCCTTTTATATTGTATGGTCCTTTTGAAAAATAAATGAATGCAAATCTTGGAGGGTTTTTGTGTTCATTGGTAAGGAATGTGTATGAAGTGTTTTATTCGTAAATTGTGACCGGTAACATAATTGACAGACATGTTATGATGACTAAGAATGTATGCGTCCAAAACAAGTAAGATATAACTGACTATATATAGAACATCATTAAAAACAGGACTGCTATAGTAATGTACCTTGTTCAGGGAAATCCTTCACCCTTCTGTGGATAAGAAAAGCAACAATTTTAAAGAACACATATAATGCCTCTTTTTACATAAAGTTATGTGCAGTCTATTGTCTCTTGTTATTCATGGGAGTTGCGTTCTAAAAATAACCAGCAATAGGCGAAATCTGCGAAGTAGCCAGCTTTATTTTTTACAATTATTATAGATGTTTTAAGGCTGTAAAACCCTTCACTACACACTTGTGGTCCATTTCCACTAAGTGCTATGGTACAGTAAGGTTCGGTACGCTTTTATGGCCAGGGTCGACGCAAGACGTTTTATCTCAAAATACTCTTTAGATATTGAAAATGTCAATTTTGTGGTCAGAGTAAAAGGATCTGTTTTTGTGCATGTTTCTTTAAATGCAAATGAGCTCCCTGGCCTGTGTTGAAGGAATGTGGAATGGGTAATGGACTTAGATTGAGAAGGATACCCAACATTAGCTGTCCAGAGACCAGTCAGAAGTACCAACCTTAAAGGTCTTTACACACTGAAGTCTGATATTTTGCTTTGTGTTTTATTCATATTTGAAAAACTTGGTAAGTCACGAGTACAATGCGCAATAATAAATCCGTAGTGAAAAATTAAAAACCATCATAATTCAACCAGTGATACTTTGTACTCCTCTTTTTTTCTACAAAATAGAAATGAAAGATGAATAACTTTTATTCCAATTCATTTAATGTAGAGGAACAAGAGTCCAGCTGCTTATCAAAGAGTTGTGTTTCATTATCACAGAATGCTAAGTTTGTTTGTAGGAAAAAAAAATCTGAAATTTGAATACTTGTGATACTGCAGGCCCATGACTAACAACAGAGTCAGAGTGGCAATGGAGGTGAGGGTCTTAAGGAAGTTTATTAGCTGTGAGTCAGGCAGGCAATGGTCAAAACGGGAGCAAACAGAAACATGAGGGTAATCAGAAAATGTGCAGAGCTGGTGGTCTTCCAGAAACGGGGTTGAGAAACACTGGTCTAGTCAGTATTGTCCAAGATAGTCTGGCTCAATATGCGTAGATCTTGCGTTGTTCTTGTATAACATCAACCAAAGTTGTTAAATTGCACCAGTACTCAAAACAACAAGACCAGAGGACACATGAAGAACTCAATGTCGAAGATGCATCGAATGCAGAATTGAGCACAGCACTCGACTGAAGTCTTTGTAGCTAAATAAAGGTGCTTTAACGTTAGCACTTTTGGTCCAAACCTGTATTTGTTTGACGTCAGAGTACAGTAGGTTTAGCTAGTGTGAAGGTGTCTCCTGAACTTGGGTGTGCACCCGCAAACCGTACACGTGTCCACCTGAAAGGTACGGTTCACTTCTGGTATGAATGCCATCATACCAAATAACTGAAGTGAACTGCCAACAGTACAACAGACTGTCGTTTTCATAACGTTTATTCGTGTGTGTGTGAGTATCACATACTTTACCTTGGTGACAAGCGGGACTGAACCAGGGCAAGCACAGTGATAATGTCAACTTGTCTCCAGCTTCTGCAGACATCGCGTTATATTCTGAACGTTTATAATATTTTTGCAGAAGATGGACGCAGTGCAGTCGCTTTCTGTATGTCCAAAACCAAAAGATGAGTCGGTGGTTAGCACTGTCGCCTCACAGCAAGGTGGTCACTGCTTTGAGTCCTGGCTAAGCCAGTTGGGTATTTTCTCTGTGGAGTTTCCATGTTCTCCTCATGCTTGTTTGGATTTCCTTCTGGTGCTCCAGTTTCCACCACTGTCCAAAGACATGCAGCATAGGCCCACATGAAATCTGCGCGCACAGAATTCCACAGATTTTTCGCAGATTTTATTAATTATGTTTATTTACTCGAGTAAATTTGTAAATTTATATTTATTCAGTTTTTAAATTAATTTCAGTAATATTAATGACTAATATGAAAATGTTCGCCTGATTTATGTACAATGCAGTTTGTACAGTAATATTTTCGGTCTTTTAGTAGAGATATTATTTGAGAGACTTGCTTTGTGTAACAAAATAAAGTGAATCTAGTTGGATTTGCATTTTAAACATTAAATACAAGTTAAAAAGATATTATATTTTATTTTACATATTAAGGTTTCAGTTATGATACTCCCAAAATAATTCCGCAGAAATCCGCAGATTTTTACCAAAATTCTCCACAGAAATTCACTGTTCATTTCACTGTAGTTACCCCTGGTAAATCAGTGACTAAGCCAATGGAAAATGAATGATGATCAAGATCTACCATTTTTGTTTAACTCAGAGCTTTCCCCAATAGAGACAGTGAAAGTAAAGATTCCTATGGAAAGGTTTAATTGTTGAAATTCATATTAAAGTCTATTTTATTTTAAGGTTTTTGTTATTCGTATGGAAAAGGAAAAACAATTAATCATTGTATGAATGCTGTAATGTTGAAATAGCTTTCCATTAAACGTGAAAGTCATGTGACCAACAGGATGTGTTCTGTGTTCTCATGGTTTTCTGCTGTAACTTGGCAAGACTGGTCTCCATGAGAATGCAAGTCCGTTCTCTGGGTCCTCTGATCTTTTATTTTTGCATCAGCTCAAAGGATCACATAGGCAAGAGACGAGCATTTGGGGCCCTATCATACACCCGGCACAGTGTGGCGTGGCGCAGTAGTCTTTTGGTAGTTTCAGCTTGGCGCAAGAGTCGTTTTGAGGCGTTGCACTACGCTGTTTAAATAGCAAATGCATTAGCGCTCATTTGTGCGCCCATAGGCGTTCTGGTCTAAAAAGGAAGGCGTTCTGAGGTGGACCGCTGGCGCGTTGCTATTTTGAGAATCTATAATAGATTTTTCATTAGACCAAAACTAACCCGGTCTAAACTCCGGCGCAGAGTTGCGCCTCGCTTACACACTGCTTAATACACACAAGAGAGCAATAGGCAAACATTTTTACATATGAAAAAATTTAAATATTAAGGGTATATATAGGATATAATAAGAATAGATATAGAATATAAAGGATTAAAATATTACAAAACATTATTTTCTAGCCTACATAAATATGAAAAATCACTGCTTTTATGTCTTCTTCATCTCGGGAGGCTTTTTCAGTTCATTCATAACAATTTGCTTTTGTATAATGTTATTATTATTAGCAGTATTATTTAATATATCCATATTTATATTTGTTTTATTAAAAACAAGCTTAGATATGCCCACCTGCAGGTTTTAGACCATATGGGGCACAGCATGTGTTTTAGGATATAACTCAGGTTTTTGAGCACATTTTGTTATTATTATTCAATTATTCGTTTGCTGGAAATTAGAACTGAATTTAGAAATAGTTTTGAAACGAATATTTGCGCTTAACAAACAAAAGTATTTATTTATAGACTAATTGATGTCTGTGCGTAAAGGTTTCCCTATCCAAGAGCGAATGTTAAAGTAGATCCATTGTCTCTCATTCTCACGCAGTAGATGCTCTGTTTAACAGTTTTCTGTTAAAAAAAACTGTTAACTGTTTGCTTGTGAAATGCTCATTTTTTTCCACTTAGACTTACTTTGCGTCCTGTGAATAGCAAATGCACTCTTGGCGCGATGCAGCTGGCTCTTAAAGGGAATGGGAGATGAGACTCTAATTTGTTTATTCTCAAAACACACCTATAACTCATTAAGAACATAAACTCAACCCTTTTCGACCATGCGCCACGACGCAAAGCAGATTTTCCAGTCCTTAAATTAGCAAAAATGCGTTCTGACATGCCCTGAAAGCGTTTGCGCCCTGCGTTTTGCGCTCTGCGCGTGGACCGTCAAAATAGAGCCCTTGGTCTTTTCTTGCTTCCATTTGCTCAGTAGACCATCCTCATAATATTTTCTTATTCTTTTTTTCTTAGTTTGTTTACAAATTGTTTTTAAACTATCATTATAATCGGTTTGCACAGGCCGTTATTTATTTAAACCAGATCTGAGATTAACTGATGTAAGGTTGGGTATCTGAAAAAATCTCACAAATCAAATTGTAATGAAAAATAAATATGATTATCAACGTTTTTTAAGTTTGTGGAGTAAAATGTTATTTTTGTTTTGATAAAAGGTAAAACTAAACTCTTGAAATCCCCTCCATAATCCCACAGAAGGCGTATTGTTTATTAGTAAGATATTAATATTGTAGTTCATGGAGTTATTACTAAGCAATTATAAACGTCAGACATCTTTCCAATTAATTGATTGGAATAATTGTTGCTATTAAGGCACACCTTATAACAGAATTTGTCTTTTTAGATGAATATTTTACTATAAATCAGCTTTTTAATTTTTTTACAGTGATCTAATATTTACATGCTTAATACGTATTTATTTGCTTGAGATATATATTTATTTACATCAACATGTTACATTTAAAGTTTCCTCTAATGTACAATAACAGACAGTGGTGCGGCTCATTGGTTACACTGATTTATCATCCACAACCCATATTTCATGGGCACCTATTCTTGATCCTGAAGACATTTATAAATGAGGCTCTTTTTCCACAACGGTCCTCTGAGCTGAATATAGATGACCAATGGAAACCTTAATGAACAAAGAAGAGATAAAAATAAAACATTATTGTAGAATTACATAGAATTAAATCAAATAATTGTTAGTACCTTTAATTCTTCAAATTCTGTTATTTGAGTCAGGTCATTTAAACATTTTTGTTCATCATACTGAAGTAATAAAACCTTGCTGATTAATAAAATTAAATTAAATTTATAACCATGGCCCCTGAGGATACCCATCATGTAAATAGTGAAATTACATTATATCAAACTGCTGACGTCACTTTCTCTAAAACAAAACACTTAGCCCCACAGAGAGCCTCCATTTTGTTAGCTGTAATTTTTTGCTTACATATAACATTTCATAGGGTCAGTATAAAAAAACGTTAATAATTTTGTGTCTGGGAAAAGTCGTTTTTTGGAAAATTCAAACCATTTCTTTTTAATTTCTATGATTTTTTATACACTTTTATTTATTTTTTGAGTCGTTTATTTTCCCTATAAGGGTAAAAATTGGACCTCATTCTTAAATCTTAAGTCATAACCCTTTAAATAAAAAATAAATAAATAAATAAATAAACAGTAAATCCAAAGTGAGTAAATCCAATAAACAAAATGAATTTTCAAGTGGTCTTTCAAGTTTGACCAAAACTTTAATTTATTAAAAGATTAATATTATTCATTACTTTTATTTTTAATTATATTACATCTTACAATGACACAATTATTGATCATGAAAACTCCAAAAGACACAGAACGCCAGGAAGGGGAAATTTTCACTTTTTGGTCAACACCTTATTTAACAAAGCTCACCTGTCTTTTGATGACTGCCAGATTTTCTCTCGCTTGATTTATGAGCAAATCCAGTGTTCTGGGATTGTCAACGTGAAGGTTTTCCCTGAAGCCATCCTTCACTCTGCGAAGTGCGTATGTTCTACAAACAAACAGCATTCTTACAGCAAACAATCTGGTGATGGTTAATATTTGTTCAATCTACAAAATAATTCAAACAATGTGTAATATTAACAGTGCTAACTTATGATAATTAACACCGGTTTTGTTATGAAACAATCTAGTTTAGTTTTTGGCAAACAGTCCTCTTACACATGTAACGTTAGCAAAACTATGATTAATTTAGTGTTGCCACGGTTTTACTACAGAAGCCTAATTATGTTTTCGTTTTTTCGGTAAAACGTAGTTATTTTTAAACTTAGGCGAATTAAATTCGGGTGGCGGCAGGTTAAAAACAACAAAAACAAACACTAAAGTGACGAAGCGGGACAAAAACAAAATGCAAGGCAATATATGTAACGTTAAAGTCGTCCTGCTTTATATTTCACTCTCCAATGCACAGAGACGAACCTGTAATTGTATGAGGGGAATTTTTTGCTCTCCTTCATAAGCATCCTGTAAAGGGAGATCACTTGAGCCCTGCTGCACGACGCCATGTTGACTTCCGTGTCGTGCTTCTTCTCTTGTTACGTTGCGTTTCGTATAAAACATCGCCATCTAGAGTGAGAATCCGCCATTAGGGACACAAATATTGTACAGGTGAATCATTTTTTAACCATTTTTTGAGACGATATATTTGAACATTTATGTGACAAAAAATACATTTGTCTGTCTGTCTGTTTGTCTGTCTGTCTGTTATAGGCCTATTTAGATTTCTTAGGAAAGCATAATTTATTTTTGGACCTATGTTGAGCAATAAATAAAAAAAGTTCTAAATCATCTTAACATTTTTTGTGTTCCACTATTATATTATGCCTACTTACAATTATATAATACATTTTACAGGTGTCTTTCATTCTCACACACCAACATTAAAATAGTGTAGAATAGTATGTGTTATAATAATAATAATAATAATAATAATAATAATAATAATAATAATAATAATAGTAATTCATTGTATTTGTTTATTTAGTGTCCATTTTATTAATTTAACATTTATTATTGAGAGAAGTGGTTAAAACAAAATAACAGTAGTTACTTTCCCTGGTATTTAGATAATCCTACTTTAAAATGACCTACATAATTAACTGATGAGTCCAACATTGCTTGTGAGTTCATTCATTCATTTTTCTTCGGCTTATTCTCTTTATTAATTAGGCGTTGCCACAGCGGCAACTTATCCAGCATATGTTTTTCAAGCTGCAACCCAGTACTAGGGAAGCACCCAACACTTTTACATGCACACACATACACTTAAGCCAATTTAGTTTGTTCAAATTACCTATAGCACATTTCTTTGGATTGTGGGGGAAACCAGAGCACCCAGAGGAAACCCACACCAACACAGGGAGAACATGCAAACTCCACACAGAAATGCCAACTGGTCCAGCCAAGACTCAAATCAGTGACCTTCTTGCTGTGAGGCGACAGTGCTAACCACTGAGCCAACATTTTACCCCTGCTTGTGAGTTTTAAAAAGTACATTTAGGGGTAAAGTTTAATCATTATTTTTCAGTTGAATCATGTGCGGGGGGGGGGTGAGAGAAAAATAATTAAACTTTTGATCACAAACAATCACATCGCTAGTGTCAAAGCAGGTTACATTGCAATGTAACTGTCACGTTTCCATTTCTGCCCAACTGGAATTTAAACCTGGTTGGTGTCCTCTGCTAGTTAAAGATCTAAAGAAGTGTCTTATCTGACAAATAAGAGCCTGGAAATTAAATTAATAGCACGTTTGTCTCATTTTGAGAAATCACTATAGCATTGACTTTGGACAGTAATTTACTTCAGAAAGAAATTAAATAAAAGTTCAGTGATCTTCAAAAGATCTGTGAATTTTTGCACACCTTTGCTCTGTAATAATCTGGATATGCTTGTAAATCTGATCATATGTTATGCTAACAATGTTTAAACCATTTGTATCAATACTAACCTTTGATTAATTTATGGCCCACTTACCACTAACTCAGCACTCCTTTCTATAGATTATGCAATATGGGGCACTTAATATCACAATTTAAAGTCTAAAGAACAGTTCCTATCCACAAGAGTGCTTGTGTCTGGGGAACAACAGCAGATCCCCAAGGCCACTTTATGGCTGACTGTGCAGATGGGGCCTCTTTCAATGACTGGAGCGGCATCTTGAAATGAAAATGATGTGGAAAAACAAACAAACATAGCCAACACACACAACAGGACTCATGTGTATTAATTAACTAGACAATTTTATTGATGTTTACCTTAGATTTTCGTATTAGAGTGTTAAAGAGCATTTATGATTATTCTAATTTTTTTTAAATTAATTAATCAATTTAGATGGTGGTGATGCAGTGGCGCAGTAGTGCTGTCGCCTCACAGGAAGAAGATCGCTGGTTTGAGCCTCAGCTGGGTCAGTTGGCATTTCTGTGTGGAGTTTGCATGTTCTCCCCGACTGTGGTTTTCCCCCACAGTCCAAAGACATGTGGTATAGGTAAATTGGGTATTCAAAAATTGGCAGTAGTGTACATGTGTGAATGAATGTGTATGTATGTTTCCCAGTGATGTGTTGCAGCTGGAAGGGCATCTGCTGCGTAGAACATATGCTGTATAAGTTGGAGGCTCATTCCATTGTGGCGAATGAATGAATGAATTTAAGTGGTGCAGTGGGTAACGCTGTCGTTTCAAAGCAAGACGTTTGTTTGTTTGAGTCCTGGCTGGACCAGTAGGCAATTCTGTGTGGAGTTTGCATGTTCTCCCCTTGTTGGCGTGGGTTTCCTCCAGGTGCTGCGGTTTCCCCCACAGTCCAAAGACATGCACTATAGATGAATTGGATTAACTAAATTCAGCTTCAATTCAATTCAATTCAGCTTTATTTGTATAGCGCTTTTACAATGTAGATTGTGTCAAAGCAGCTTCACATAAATGGTCTTAGTAACTGGAACAGTGTGGTTCAGGTTTTAGTGTTTAAGTTCAGTTCAGTTCAGTTTAGCTCAGTTCAGTGTGATTTAATCATTACTGAGAGTTCAAACACTGAAGAGCAAATTCATCGATGCGTAGCTCTACCAATCCTGAACCATGCGAGGCAGTGGCGACAGCGGAGAGGGAAAAAAAACTTCACCTGATGGGAGTGAAGAAAAAAAACCTTGAGAGAACCAGACTCAGTTGGGCACGACCATTTTAATTTCTCCGCTGGCCAAAAGTCTTGTGCAGAACTTCATTCGTCGTGGTTTATGCTGGAAGATGGCCTCAATGAAGACTCGTCTGTCCCTGGAGCGTTGCTGGAATCAGACACATGTTCTCCACTCCCCACGACCATCAGCGCAGCAGCAGCTCAGGATATGGCCTGGTCCCGGATATGGAATCCTTGGGATCATCTTGGATCTGGTCTTGGATCTGGTCTTGGATCCAATCAGTGACTCCGCCTAATCTGAGGACCTCGGGATGAGTATCCCCAGGTGAAAATAGAGAATAAAGAGAATAATTAGCATAGCTGCTGTTCATAGTGTATAAGCAAGATGCCGAAGCCAGTGTGGAACCCGCTAGGTGATGCATTGAGTGTATGCTTTACTAAACAGATAGGTCTTTAATCTAGTTTTGAACTGGGAGAGTGTGTCTGAGCCTCGGACGTTATCAGGAAGGCTATTCCAGAGTGTAGGAGCCATGAAAGAGAAGGCTCGACCTCCTTTACTTGATTTTGCTATTCTAGGTCATAGTAACTGGAACAGTGTGGTTCGAGCCGTTGCTCGATAGCGAGCCGTTGGATATTGGTAGGGTGTCATGGACGTAAGTTAAGAGCCGGGGGGGGTTGGTTGTCGCAGAAAAAAGTGAAGAGGTTTGGAGAGTCGCAGTACAAAGTGAAAGTGAACAGTGGACGGAGGAGGAGGGCGGGTGAGTAGGGGGATTGGTAAAATGAGGTATTCAGATTTCAGAGGTGCCGGATCCGGCGTGTTGCAGCGTGTTACGGGCAATTCAGAGTCATCGTCGATAAACAGGCAGATGTCAGGCAGGCAGCAGGCAACGTAAACAAACAAAACAAAGCAAGGTTTAAAAACACAAAAGCCAAGGCAAGGAAAACGCATTGTAATGTTCACAATAAAGTTTACAAACTCAACAACAATGTGTGTGTTCGGGCTGTTTTTATAGTCCATGTAATCAGTCTATGTATGCAATCAGTCATGATCAGTGTGGTGCATGACTGGGTCTTGTAGTCCATAAATGGTTGATTTGTAGACACTAAGGTCACCATATAGGCTAGGCCACGAATCACCAAACTTGTTCCTGGAGGTGCGGTGTCTTGCAGATTTTAGCTCCAACCTTTATAAAACATACCTGAACAAGCTAATCAAGGTCTTACTAGGTATACTTAAAACATTCAGGCAGGTGTGTTGAGGCAAGTTGGAGCTTAACCCTGCAGGGCACTGGACCTCCAGGAATGAGATTGGTGACCCCTGGTCTAGGCCCTTAAATAGACATAAGAAAGGATATGGATGTGTTACTCCATCCATCAGAAAATCCACGCCATCATAGGTTTATATAGTTGCATGTAATTGTGCTTAATTAATTGTAAAGTTATAGCAAGTACATTAAACATGTGAAACAAAGACACCTTAAAGTTAAGTGTTAACATTTTTCTTTAATGTAATACTGCAACATTCATCATTTATGCTTGCTTGCTTGTTTTATTTATTGATTGATTTAAAAATTGATTAATAAAACTCTATAGCATTAAGTTCAGTGTGTTTGTCTTCAGAAGCTGTTTTTGTTTGCATGCTTTCTTGTTTTATTGATTAAATGCAGGATGAATTGATTGATTGATTCTTTCTTTTTTCTTAGATTGTATGCTTTGTTTTTGGAACAATACAATCTAAGCATTACATTTATTAATCTTGCAGCAAAAATAAATAAATAAATAAAACAAGTGCTCCGTCATTCAGATAAAAAAAAAACAGCATTCATGCATACTATGTAGCATTATATACCACAGAATCAATGTCATTACAAATGTTAACATCTTCATGACATTCGGAGCACTATTAAGTTGGACCTCTAAAAGCCTTCATGTCTCTCCTTGACTTGCATGCATTCAAACATGTCATCTGTGTGTATTATTCATCCGCTCCACAGGATCCTCCGCCTGCCCCATTTATTCACACAACCTCCTCCATTATTAACATCCAGAAAGAGCCTGGACTCTCTCCGTTTGCAGCCCATCAAAATGAAGCCGCAAGGGACTCAGAGGCTCGACAAGACAGTGATTTTGGAAGCTGTAACTCTAGTTAAGTATTTTGCCATTAAAGAATATTTTCTTAATTTAAGATACTTGAATAATTAATCAAAGCATAAGATCAAATACATGATTAATACTAGTGAGTTTTAGTTGCCTGAAATCACACGGTGTTAACAAAAAATAGGCCTATGACCATTTTGATTTTATAGAGTAATTAGCATTTAAAAATGGTAATGCTAACTATTAAGCTAAGCCTCCATGCATTGCTGTTGAACAGCACTGTTAAGATTATGTGTATATTCTTCAAAAGCACTCTTAAGGTTTAAATATGGATTATTTTGAAGTGTGAACAATATTAATAGTGTTCACTATCAC